AAAACCGTGCTTGCCTGCCGCTGGACTTAGAGGTGTGTATGCATGTGTGTTCGACCTGCTTTTCATCTGAGCTTCTCCTATGCAAAAAACACATATGTTTGTCTTGCAAGCATCTGGCATCTCCCATCACAGCATTGGTGCCTCCCACCCCTAATATTATACTTGTAATCAGCTTTCTTACATAAATGTATAGGAAAATATATTCTCATGCTCAGTGTGTGGGCGTGTTGGGCTGGGGAGCGTGCCAATAACTAGTAAAGCAATATGTGAGACCATTACTTTTCCCCCTGTTGAGAATATGCTACTTAGTATGCAAACTATGAGCACCTAGAGAAAAGAGAGATGTTTCTTTAAGGGGGAGAGCTGATTAGCTGCTCTGGCTGGCAGCAAACAGCTGGTCAGTCGCACAGGTTCAAGGCCATTTCAGCTCCCTCTCTTATGGAGACACCATATGTTCCATCTCTCACATCAGCAGCTTTATTTTCCAATAATCTTGCTCCAGAAGGCAAGCAACAAAGGAAGGCATGGCGGGTAAGAGGGGAGAGCTCACATTCTACACAGGGTTTATTGTTTGTCAGTGTCAGTTTTGTGTATGGACATGCTAAACCAGGGAAGGGGAAAGGCACCTGAGAATGCTTTTTTGCCTCCTAGCAAGTGGATTGTGGAGGAAGGAAGAAGAATTCCCACGTTAGGGTAATTTGATTTTGTGTGGGGGGGGCTCACTTCTGGTGGCAGTAGGTATTGCATTAATTCATTCATTCAGGTCACCCCCCCAGGCCAGGGGTGAGGAATCTTTTTTTGAGTGGGGGGCGACCCACAGAAAAAAATCAGTTGGGGGCTGCACACAAGTGAGAAGCAGAAACCAAACCAAACCCTCAGCGAGGGAGAAAGACACTCCCCACATTCCTCTCCCGCACCAGAGCCTAGGGGACCCCAGGCTTGGGGGTTCAGTGCGCTCCAGCCCCGCAGAGGAACGGCGGGGGGGCGCCCTGGAGGAGGGCCCTGAGTCTTAGGGGCTGGATCCAGCCAAGCCAGGGGCTGCTTCCCGAGTTCCCCCGTCCCCGTTTCCCCCCCCCCTGCTTTTTCCGGGGCGTTCAGCGCTCCCAGCCTGCCGCCCGGGCGGGGGAGCCAGGCGGCGATGTCGCAACCCGCAGCAGGAAGGAAGGAAGGAAGGAGGCGAGGCGGAGCCCAGACCAGCGGGTGACCCGGAGCTTCGCCCCGCGGCTGGTCTGCCCGGGGCAGGGCCCCCCC